CCTCCTACTTCAGCTCACCTGAATGCAGTATATAAGCCACTCCAGGCTGAAGGACTGATTACCTCAAATTCCTCCTCTTTTTCCGCTGTTCTTTGTGTTTATTGGATTGAAGAAGCCACTGGCTAGAGAAACACTTCATAAATACAGATTAGCAAATGCTTCACATGTCTCATTCTATAACAGTGGGAACCTGACTGTTGTGCTGTTGGTTTAGCGCTTCTTTTTGTTTATAATAATAATAATTAACTGTTATGCTCTAACTGGTTCACTGGGTGGGAGGGCATGCCAAAAATAGGTGTGCCACAGATATTGAATAAATTGTAACATACTCTTCGCATGCCACGTCAGTAAGTTTATTCAGGTACAGGTACACATAAACACAGTTACGAAAATTATCGTTGTTTCTGCCTCCAACAGTCTTCTTGATCCTCAGCTTGGTTCCATGTTGCCCGGCTACTGACCAAGTTCCCCTCTTAACCTGGGGACTCACAACAGGAGGATTACTACAAATCCTTTTGTTTTCCTCCGTTAATCACCGTATCTCCAGCTTAGCAACCCTAAGCTCTTTTTTCAGCTGCTGGTAAAGTTGCTCAAGAGAGGGCATCCTGGTTCAGATTCACAGAGAGCACACAAACAGGTCTTCACAGAGCTAAGTACACGTCACCCTTTACTAATACCCATCTTCCACTTATACACTTTGATCATGTCTTCCCTCATTCTTCGTCTAACAAGTGAATGTAATTTAAGAGTCTTCAATCTTTCTTCATAAGGAAGATTTCTAATGCTATGTGTTAATTTAATCATTCTACGCTGAATGTTTTCTGACGAATTTATGTCCATTCTGTAATATGGAGACCAGAACTGAGCTGCATAATCTAGATGAGGCCTTACTAATGATGTATAAAGCTGCAGTATAACCTCTGGACTTCTGTTGCTTACACTTCTTGATATAAATCCCAATAATCTATTTGCCTTATAACGTACGCTTAGGCATTGCTGTCTTGGTTAAAGGTTGCTGCTCACCATAACCCCCAAGTCCTTTTTGCAATCTGTATGGCTAAGTTCTACATTATTTAATGTATAAGTGCTAGGGTTATGGACACTCCCGAGCTTCAGAACCTTGCATTTATCTACATTGAACTGCATCTGCCACTTTTCTGACCAAGAATAGAGTTTGTCTAAATCCTCCTAAGTTCCCTAACATCTACGTTTGAATCAATTATCCTACCTATCATTGTGTCATCGGCGAATTTGCTCCTATCACTAGTAATACCCTCATCAAGGTCATTGATATACATATAAACAACAATGGGCCTGCGACTGATCCCTGTGGTACACCACTTGTTACAGATCCCCACTCGGATTTAACCCCATTTAAGCATACTCTCTGCTTCCTATCAATCCATGACAGCACTTTTCCTCCAATGCCATGAGCTGCCACTTTTTTTAACAGTCTCTGGTGCAGTACTCTATCAAAAGCCTTACTAAAATCTTAATAAACAATATCAAATTCTTTATCATGATCAATGGCCTCAAAAGCTTTACTGAAGAAACACTGTATAGCCCTTGTGGCTTAGCACTTTTTTTTTATTTTAATAATAATTTACTGAAGAAAGTTAATAAATTAGTTAGGCAGGAACGGCCCCTGGTGAATCCATGCTGAGTACCATTAATCAAGCTATGCTTATCCAGATGGCTTCTTATATTATCAGCTATAATTGACTCTAGTAATTTGCCTACAATTGAGGTTAGGCTTATTGGGTGGTAATTTGACGGTAATGACTTGTCCCCTGCTTTAAAAATAGGAATTACATTAGTCATCTTCCACATATCAGACACTACACCTGTTTGAAGAGAAATATGAAAAATATTAGTCAATGGTTCACAAAGTTCTATTTTACACTCTTTAAGAACCCTAGAAAAAAGTTCATCAGGGCCCGGGGATTTATTTTGCTTCAGTTGGTCTATCTGTTTGATAACCATTTTGCTAGTGACTATGATATTGCATATATGTTTATCGTCTTCAAGCCCACTATAAAAATTTATTACTGGGATATTGTTAGTGTCCTGAGTGAAAACTGAGAGAAAATAATTATTAAGAATAGAGCACTCAGATTTAACCCCATTTATGCACACTCTCTGCTTCCTATTAGTGAGCCATGACTCGATCCATGACAGCATTTTTCCCCCAATGTCATGAGCTGCCACTTTCTTCAACAGTCTCTGATGTGGTACTCTAAAGCCTTACTAAAATCTAAATAAACAATATTGAATTCTTTATCCTGATCAACGGCCTCAAGAGGTTTGCTGAAGAAGGTTAATAAATTAGTTAGGCAGGAACGGCCGCTGGTGAAACCATGTTGAATATCATTAATCAGATTATGCCTATCGAGATGGCTTCTTATATTATCAGCACACTGTATAGCCCTTGTGGCTTAGCGCTTCTTTTTGATTATAATAATAATATATTATCAGCTATAACTGACTCTAGTAATTTGCCTACAATTGAGGTTAGGCTTATTGGGCGGTAATTTGACGGTAACGACTTGTCCCCTGCTTTAAAAATAGGAATTACATTAGCCATCTTCCACATATCAGACACTACACCTGTTTGAAGAGATAAATTAAAAATATTAGTTAAAGGTTCACAGAGTTCCATTTTACACTCTTTAAGAACCCTTGAAAAAAGTTCATTAGGGCCATTTATTTTGCTTTAACCGGTCTATCTTATGTTCTTTAAGGTGTGACCAGAAACAGGTTCTTGGACCAACACCATGTCTCCTGGGACAAATGAGCGAAATTTAAATGTTTCATCATACCTCTGTTTCATGACTCACGAAATTGTAATGATATCATTGCAAACAAACCATACCACGGGTTGGGTTTGAACCCGTGCCCAGAGAGTCTCTGTTTCATGTTGTCCTGAGCTGTTTTCAGGTTAACCTTGACCAGCTGTTTTGTCAATCATGAGACATCTTCAAAACCTGAGGTCTGAATTTCTTAGGAATTACAAGCCTATCAAATTTGAATATACCCCTACCTCCTTACCAGAGACCAGACTAAATAATACATTATTTTTTAACATATTTAGTAGAAGCAGCTGTGAAAGCTGAAGCAACGATGGGTCTTCCCGGAAGGTCAGTGGTCAGGGATGGACACAGGAGCATCTGGCAATCCTGCTTCCCAGGAATGGGAAGGATTGATCAAGGGTGTTTCAATAGATTTACGAGTCCCTGGCCAGTTTTCCTCGTAAAAGAATTTGTCTAACCAAGATCAGAATCAGCAGTCTCTTCAGACTTTCCTTTGGCCATTGGCCGAGTTACGCGAAGAAACAGCAGGAGAGGAAGACAATGAGACACAAGGTGAAGACAGTGAACCAGAAAATGATGACAGTGAGCCAGAAAATGAAGATAATGAGCCAGAAGGTGAAGATATTGCGTCAGATGAAGACAATGAGTCAGAAGATGAAGACAGTGAATCAAAAGATGAAGACAGTGAATCAAAAGATGAAGACAATAAGTCAGAAAATGAAGACAATGAACCAGATGACAGTCACAAGACGAAGACAGTGAGCCAGAAGATGAAGACAATGAGCCTGTTTTTTTTTTAAAGGCACACCTGGTTTACTTCGTATTTCCATATATTAACCAAATTCATATTTACTTAATGTAAACAAAAAAAAAATCGTTTTTAAATCTGAAAACACAAGAGAAGGTATTAGGTATTTGCTACTTGCTGTTTCCCTTCTTATCTCTCTATTTCCCTTATTATCTCTCTGTTTCCCTCCTTATCCATTTCCCTCCTTATCTCTCTATTTCCCTTCTTATCTATTTTCCGGCTTTCTATCACCTGCAGCTCATAAGACTGCCATCCCCACGAGCCCCTTTGGGGCGGGGCAGATGGCAGACCAGAGGCCTAGCTTCTCCCTACGAGCCCCGTGAGGGCGGGGACTGGCTAGGCCTGGGGACACTTGGTCCCAAAGATGAGGAGGTACTTGTACCTCCTCCCATGGGAGACTTAGGTCTCGAGATATTCCCCAGATAGGGAGCCAAGAAAAGATCCGGGCCGGGAGAGTACCGGCGAATAAAAAAAAAGAAAAAAAAATCTATTTTCTTCTATTTCTCTCCTTACCTCTCTATTTCTGAAAGTCATACTGATTCTTTTACTGGAGTTTTGAATAGGCTATCCGAAATTACGTCTTAGTAGGAAGGTTTCTTGATGCTGGTGAGGTCTTGATCTAGGGAACTGGATCTGTGGTCCAGTTCCCTGAATTAAGCCTGAATACCTTCCATCACCCCCACAGGCACTGTATAATCCTACGAGTTTAGAGCTTTCCTTATGATCATAATAATAATCCAGGTATATTCCAGGTATCTTTAGGAAACTTGAACTGTTAACACCTCGTTAGAATATGTTCAAATCTCTGTCCCTCATGGCGGACGTAAATCATACACAGGCTGCCGTTAGGTATGCAAAACGACTACTATGAAAAAATAGTAACATTCCAAGCTCTTTGGTGATTTCTCATATTGTGTAGGACATGTGAAAATAATACAGCAGTGGAAGGCTTATAAGGCTGAGATATCACCTCACATACGCACATACGACATTAAACCTGACAAGTCTTTCACCGTTCTGTTATTTTTACAGGTCCTTGATAATGTGAGAATTCACGAAAGGGCTTGGAAGTTCACTATTTTTTCACAGTGGTTGTTTTGCATATTGTGATATCACCTGTTCACTGTGATCTTATTGTATTAATCACGTATGTACAGTTATCTTGACACGATTACTGTGAAATGTTCAGTTATATTTAATATTCTCACTCACTCTCTGTCTGTCTGTCTGTCTCTGTCTCTGTCTCTCTCTCTCTCTCTCTCTCTCTCTCTCTCTCTCTCTCTCTCTCTCTCTCTCTCTCTCTCTCTCTCTCTTTTAAATTTGTTTTTTTAGTGTGCCTACTGAGAATCTGTGGGAGAAAAAGAATTAGGCACCAAGGGAATTTCATTTGCTGGGAGTGGCACCACCGAGGCAGTAGGAGGAGAGTCAGTGAGCCACTGGCACCCACTGTGGCAGGAGCTATATACTGTTCTGTCGCTGACCGTGTTCCCCACCACTGTCTTCCCCACTGTGACGTCACCATTGGCTAATGTATATCTTTCAGTCCCGGGGTTACACCATAAATGCTCATTACCGTGATATTTTTTTGGTGCTAAAATATTTGTACTCATACGGATACATACACAAAAATATGTATAGATATATATTCCTGTTCATACATGGAAGAGAAGGCAATATATGGAAGTGGAATATTGCGCTTTATCTTAAATAGGAAGTGAAATTAACAAGTTTACCTTCCCAGGACACCGTTGATGTAGTTATACGACTGAGTTAACCAACGCTGTGAACCATGAGTGTTGTTAATACCACTAACACCTGCAAACAGCTTAGTTAACACAGGACCTTAGGGGTGAATTATGAGTGTTGCTTATGTTGCTGACGCAAGGAAAGCCTCCCTGTCTGACATCATGACTACCAACCATCCAGTCTGACATTATGACTACCAACCATCCAGTCTGACATCATGACTGCCAGCCATCCAGTCTGACATCATGACTACCAACCATCCAGTCTGACATCATGACTACCAACCATCCAGTCTGACATGACTACCAACCATCCAGTCTGACATCATGACTACCAACCATCCAGTCTGACATCATGAATGCCAGCCATCCAGTCTGACATCATGACTACCAACCATCCAATCTGACATCATGACTACCAACCATCCAGTCTGACATTATGACTACCAACCATCCAGTCTGACATCATGACTGCCAGCCATCCAGTCTGACATCATGACTACCAACCATCCAGTCTGACATCATGACTACCAACCATCCAGTCCGACATCATGACTATCAACCATCCAGTCTGACATCATGACTACCAACCATCCAGTCTGACATCATGACTGCCACCATCAGTCTGACATCATGCTACCAACCATCCAGTTGACATCATGACTACCAACCATCCAGTCTGACATCATGACTATCAATCATCCAGTCTGACATCATGACTACCAACCATCCAGTCTGACATCATGACTACCAACCATCCAGTCTGACATCATGACTACCAACCATCCAGTCTGACATTATGACTACCAACCATCCAGTCTGACATCATGACTGCCAGCCATCCAGTCTGACATCATGACTACCAACCATCCAGTCTGACATCATGACTACCAACCATCCAGTCTGACATCATGACTACCAACCATCCAATCTGACATCATGACTACCACCCATCCAGTCTGACATCATGACTAAAAACCATCCAGTCTGACATCATGACTACCAACCATCCAGTCTGACATCATGACTACCAACCATCCAGTCTGACATCATGACTATCAACCATCCAGTCTGACATCATGACTACCAACCATCCAGTCTGACATCATGACTACCAACCATCCAGTCTGACATCATGACTACCAACCGTCCAGTCTGACATGGCTACCAACCATCCAGTCTGACATCATGACTACCAACCATCCAGTCTGACATCATGACTAAAAACCATCCAGTCTGACATCATGACTACCAACCATCCAGTCTGACATCATGACTATCAACCATCCAGTCTGACATCATGACTACAACCATCCAGTCTGACATCATGACTACCAACCATCCAGTCTGACATCATGACTACCAACCATCCAGTCTGACATCATGACTACCAACCGTCCAGTCTGACATGGTTACCAACCATCCAGTCTGACATCATGACTACCAACCATCCAGTCTGACATCATGACTACCAACCATCCAGTCTGACATCATGACTACCAACCATCCAGTCTGACATCATGACTACCAACCATCCAGTCTGACATCATGACTACCAACCATCCAGTCTGACATCATGACTACTAACCATCCAGTCTGACATTATGACTACCAACCATCCAGTCTGACATCACATCGTCTGACAGACTAACATCATCCTGCTCACATCATGACTACCAAGCCATTCAGTCTGACATCATGACTACCAACCATCCAGTCTGACATGACTACCAACCATCCAGTCTGACCCATCACTGAACTACCAACCATCCAGTCTGACATCATGACTGCCAACCATCCAGTATGACATCATGACTACCAACCATCCAGTCTGACATAACTACTAACCATCCAGTCTGACATCATGACTACCAACCATCCAGTCTGACATCATGACTACCAATCATCCAGTATGACATCATGACTCAACCATCCAGTATGACATCATGACTACCACCATCCAGTACTGGTACAGTACTATAGACTCATCCAGTTAGGTACCAGGATGACTACCAATCCATATCATGACATCAGTATGACTTCACATCATCTAGTAGGTACAGCATGACTCATCAACATAGTACCAGTATGACTTCAGTCACAGTAGTACCAGATGACTTACATAGTATTAGGTACCAGCATGACATCATCAGTCCTATTAGGTACCAGTATGACATCACCAGTCCTATTAGGTACCAGTATGACTTCACCAATCATAGTAGGCACCAGTATGACTTCAGTCACAGTAGGTACCAGTATGACTTCACCAGTACTATTAGGTACCAGTATGACATCACCAGTCCTATTAGGTACCAGTATGACTTCACCAGTACTATTAGGTACCAGTATGACTTCATCAATATTATTAGGTACCAGTATGACTTCATCAATATTATTAGGTACCAGTATGACTTCACCAGTACTATTAGGTACCAGTATAACTTCATCAATATTATTAGGTACCAGTATGACTTCACCAATTACAGTAGGTACCAGTATGACTTCACCAATCATAGTAGGTACCAGTATGATTTCACCAGTCATAGTAGGTACCGGTATGACTTCAAAGGATGTCAATCGCTTGGAGATGGGAGGGGCGTTCAAAATCTGAAGGTGACCTAAAAATTTGGTCTGTGACCGTAAATAAAATCCTGTCTGGAAGGTATTTAGAAATCTTTGTGGATTGATTTCTTTTAAGAGAATGTCTCGTTACAGGTGAAAAGTTCTTGATCCATTAAAATAGAGCTATCCTCTCCCTTGGATCAAACTTCATTATCTTCCATGGCGCAGGCGTTGTCTGCCTCCCTCGGGGTATAGTGGTTCTTTGGTGGCCCGGTGGCCTGGTGGCTAAAGCTCCCGCTTCACACACGGAGGGCCCGGGTTCGATTTCCGGCGGGTGGAAATTCCGACACGTTTCCTTACACCTATTGTCCTGTTCACCTAGCAGCAAATAGGTACCTGGGTGTTAGTCGACTGGTGTGGGTCGCATCCTGGGGGACAAGATTAAGGACCCCAATGGAAATAAGTTAGACAGTCCTCGATGACGCACTGACTTTCTTGGGTTATCCTGGGTGGCTAACCCTCCGGGGTTAAAAATCCGAACAAAATCTTATCTTATCTTATCTTATCTTTGTACTGGTGGTCCAAGGACCACTGTGTGACCCTTCTATCCTGTGTACTGGTGGTCCCAGGACCACTGTGTGACTCTTCTATCCTGTGTACTGGTGGTCCCAGGACCACTGTGTGACTCTTCTATCCTGTGTACTGGTGGTCTCAGGACCACTGTGTGACTCTTCTATCCTGTGTACTGGTGGTCCCAGAACCACTGTGTGACCCTTCTCTCCTGTGTACTGGTGGTCCCAGGACCACTTCGTGACTCTTCTTCCCTGTGTACTGGTGGTCCCAGAACCACTGTGTGACTCTTCTATCCTGTGTACTGGTGGTCCCAGAACCACTGTGTGACCCTTCTATCCTGTGTACTGGTGGTCTCAGGACCACTGTGTGACTCTTCTATCCTGTGTACTGGTGGTCCCAGGACCACTGTGTGACCCTTCTATCATGTGTACTGGTGGTCCCAGGACCACTGTGTGACCCTTCTATCCTGTGTACTGGTGGTCCCAGGACCACTGTGTGACTCTTCTATCCTGTGTACTGGTGGTCCCAGGACCACTGTGTGACCCTTCTATCCTGTGTACTGGTGGTCCCAGAACCACTGTGTGACCCTTCTATCCTGTGTACTGATGGTCCCAGGACCACTGTGTGACCCTTCTATCCTGTGTACTGGTGGTCCCAGAACCACTGTGTGACCCTTCTATCCTGTGTACTGGTGGTCCCAGGACCACTGTGTGACCCTTCTATCCTGTGTACTGGTGGTCTCAGGACCACTGTGTGACTCTTCTATCCTGTGTACTGGTGGTCCCAGAACCACTGTGTGACCCTTCTATCCTGTGTACTGGTGGTCCCAGGACCACTTCGTGACTCTTCTATCCTGTGTACTGGTGGTCCCAGAACCACTGTGTGACTCTTCTATCCTGTGTACTGGTGGTCCCAGAACCACTGTGTGACCCTTCTATCCTGTGTACTGGTGGTCTCAGGACCACTGTGTGACTCTTCTATCCTGTGTACTGGTGGTCCCAGACCACTGTTGTGACCCTTCTATCATGTGTACTGGTGGTCCCAGGACCACTGTGTGACCCTTCAATCCTGTGTACTGGTGGTCCCAGGACCACTGTGTGACTCTTCTATCCTGTGTACTGGTGGTCCCAGGACCACTGTGTGACCCTTCTATCCTGTGTACTGGTGGTCCCAGAACCACTGTGTGACCCTTCTATCCTGTGTACTGATGGTCCCAGGACCACTGTGTGACCCTTCTATCCTGTGTACTGGTGGTCCCAGAACCACTGTGTGACCCTTCTATCCTGTGTACTGGTGGTCCCAGGACCACTGTGTGACACTTCTATCCTGTGTACTGGTGGTCTCAGGACCACTGTGTGACCTTTCTATCCTGTGTGCTGATGGTCCCAGGACCACTGTGTGACCCTTCTATCCTGTGTACTGGTGGTCTCAGGACCACTGTGTGACCACCATCTCTTTTGTGTGTACTGGTGGTTCCAGGACCACTGCGTCACCCATCTCTCTGTGTACTGATATGTACTGGTGTATGTACACACACACACACACACATATATTAAAATATATATATATATATATATATATATATATAATATATATATATATATTATATATATTATATATATATATATATATATATATATATATATATAT